CGCTTCCGGTGCGTTGATGAGTCCGAAAAGCATCACCACAAACTCGTAGTGCCCGTAATGACTCTTAAAGGTCTTCTTCTGGATATCCTCCTATCAAATTCTCATATGATGATATCCAGATCTCAAATCAATCTTGGAAAACCAAGACATCCCCTAGAGCTGATCGAACAGATTGTCGATCCTCAGTAGTGGATAACGGTTCTTGACCGTCAGCTTATTCAACTCCCGGTAATCAATACACATCCGGTGTGAACCATCCTTTTTCATGACAAAAACGATCAGATGTCCCCACGGTGAGCTACTTGGTCTAATAAAACCCTTCCCCGGAAGCTCCCGGAGCTTTGAGGATAACCCCTGCATCTCTGGTGGCAGAAGGCGATAAGGTACCTTGACAATATGCGCTGCTCCTAAAACCATATCAATCCAGAACTCCACCTGCCTCTCGGGAGGCACACCCAGCGACTCCTCAGGAAAAATATATGAAAACTCGCACACTATCGGAACCTCGGCGATAAAACTCGACCTGTTGGTAGCAACTTGCGTATCCGACACGTATGCTAAAAGTCCCATACAACCTTGATGTAAACTCTGTCTCGCTCAGACAGCAGAGTAGAAAGCTGATCTAGATCGGGTACCCTTGGCGTACACCGTAAGCACTCCCCCACTTGGCTCTCGTATGGTCACCATCTGACGTTCACTGTCGATCAATGCTCTGAAATGACTCAACCAATCCATACCCACGATGACACAGACATCACCCATCGTGATCGGCACCAAATCTATTAGAAACTCGACACAAAAGATCTCCAGTACACATCCCCGAAACACATCAGTAGCAAAAAACGCATACTCTTCGGCAATACAAACTCTCAAAGGTCGACTCAATGCCTCGCATCGAATATTGATGTTACGACTAAAAGCTAAAGACACGAAAGATCGACTCACACCCGAGTTCAATAACACCAAAGTTGGTACATAACTCACAAGAAAAGTACCTACATATAACACAATATAAGCACTGTAAATCTCAAACTAATATAGGTAAAGAATATGTACTAACCATGAGATTAGGTGTTGCGTGGACCTCCTCTGCTATCAGCTAAAAAGCTCTCCCACGATCCCTCGGTGTCTCGGCCTTCAGTAGCCAACTATCAGTAGCATGTAACGCAGCAAGTGCAGATCCTTGAAGAAGTTGTGGTCACCCGGCCTTCTGATGGTCAGTCTGGTTGTAGTGAAAGCAAACTGCAAGTCCCTTGGGGAAATCCTTCATCATGTGCCCCTCCTTGCTACATTTGTAGCAAATCCCTGCTCGGCACGATCCCTCGTGAGTCTTGCCGCACTTGCCACAAGTGTGGCCCTTCAGGCCCCTAGTCCTCATATCAGCGGGCTTAGCCCGATTCATCACCGGCCTCGACTATACTGGTCTCCTGTCTCTACCCTGGGACTCCTCTTCCTCTCTGGTTTGTAGCGCTAGTTCAATCTCACTACGCCTGGCATTGGTCTAAAGCTCAGCCAATGTTTGGTATGACGAGTTCGTTATGAACTCCCGTATATCCTTCCTCAGTATACTCATATATTAGCTCACACATGCCTGCTCAGTAGGCAGATGCTCAGGGAAGATCAACTCCCTCTCGTGAAACATCCTCGTAATCTTAGTCAATAACTCTATCTTCTGTTTGAGAGACAGGAACTCATGTGTCAAACGTTCCCTCTCCACCGAGGGAACATACTTATCTTCGAACATCTGTGTGAACCTCTCCCATATCACTACAACATGGTTAGTAGGAGTAAAACTGGTAGTCACAAACTTCCACCAGTCCTTCTCTCCCAAGCGAAGCTGGTTTAGCGCAAAACGAACACTCAAATGCTCTTGGCATGAACAAGTGTAAAAATAACCCTAATATCAGAATCCCATCTCATCACCACAATCGGATCATGTGTCCCGTCATACTCTATGGCTTCTTGTTGCTAAACTCCTATAGCAACAACGAGTCACCTTCCTGTGGCCTAGCAGTGGTAATGGTTGTGGTGGCTGCAGCAGTAGCAGCCTAGGTAACAACAGTATACCTCTCATCAAATGTCATAATCAGGGTGGTCTTAATAGACCCAAACATCTATGATATCTCCTCTCGAATGGCTGTGGCCACCTCTTCATGAATCATCCAATGAATCTCATCATCGCTAGTCCCACTGCTCGCTGGGTTATGGCGCGTACTCACCATGATATCTCTGAAACACAACACGAAAATCATCAGAGACTCGCTCGATCATACTCACACTCGATCACCCACCCCTACTTGTTCCTTAGCATCCTAAAGATTCTTACTTGGGTTGCTTACATATCCGGTGCTTCTAGTAGTGCATTCCTAATATTACCTTCCAGACCAACCTGTAGTCATCCCATGTCCTCCTCCTAGGATCCTAATTCACAAATACTCCATCTCTCATGAATATTAGAATACTCTCTCAGTATACCCCTCATAAGCTCATCTAGGTATCTCTCCTAGATTATCTCTCAACTTGGAACTCCCACTAGCTGATTCCTGCTAGATACTCTTACTGAGTACATGATCAAAGCACATAACTGATAGCATCAATTCCTAGGCTATGGCATCATAACTCAGGAAACTCTAGTCCTAAAGTATGAAATTCCTAGCCTATCTTCTACCATGCATAACTAATATCTCATAACACAAAAAGTAAGGGTATTTGGGAAATTACCGTTTGGGGTCTGGCTGATTGTACACACTCCTCTAACTCATTTTCTATTAAAACACTTTCTCATTTTAGAAAAGTCATTTCTCTTGAAAAAAATTCTCAAATCCTTAGTTTGAGTCCAGACACAACCGAAGGTATATCCGAATCCCTCAAACCAAGGCTCTAATACCAGCTTGTAACACCGTAAAATTTTCAACAAATTTTTCATTTACAAAAAACAATTATCTCATTAGAACAATCACAAAACTCTCAATAACTATTAAGTTATCCAAAAACACATGTTCCAAAAACAAGTTTATATACAATCCAGAATCATCCCAAAACATATCTCTAACTCGGGTGTGTGTCTATACAATCAAGCCGGTTCCTTCCCGTGATCTTGAGACATACCTAAAATACATTATGCCCTAACATGGTAAGCATGAAGCTTAGTGAGTTCCCCAAAATACCACACGCATCTCATTAGCCTCTCATTCCTATACTCTAATAAGATCCTCAATTCAATGTGTCTTAGTGGGACCCTCTGGTCCCGCTACTCGGGTGAAGCCTTCGGTCCTACCTTAGTAAGCTGAGAATAATGCACATCATAAAGAACATAAACATAAACGTTAGTAGGATAGCACAATACTCAATATAACACATAAGACCCTCTGGTCACACAAATATTACCACTATAGGTAAGGTATAGTGAGAAGATTCACCTCACAAGCAAACAAGTAATAACCTCGTACACTAATCTCGAACTAGCCTCAACCTAACACATAGGATAATTATCTCTACTTAATAATGTGTTCAAAACTCTAAATATACCAAAATTACTCTCTCTCTATCTCTTTAACTCTTGGAATGGGTAAAAGACCATTTTACCCCTACATAGTACCCCCTAAACCTAGTCTTGACCACACCCTAAAGTCAACAGAAGTCAACATTTAAGTCAACAGTCCATGTTAACCTGACTCGGCGAGTTCATCTATGTGACTCGTCGAGTCCCCTCGTTTCTTCTGAAGATATCATGAAAGTCCAATTTCACTCATCGAGTTGTCTCATCAACTCGTCGTGTTATACATGTTCAGACTCATTGGGGAAAACCCTAGCCGACTCGTCGAGTCAGCTCGTTAACTCGGTAAGTCCTTTAAGTCTGAATTATCATTCAAATGTTTAAGGCAGATCTACCACTCCAAACTTGAGATCTAGCCTTCCAAGGTATGAATGTCACGCAAAGCTTCGATCTTTACGTTCATGCATGGCATATTTTCTCCATAATGCCAATACAAGCTCTAACAAGGGTGTCAATCACAAAAGCTCTTCTATAGATGGATAAAGTTGGGACCTTTGGACTCTAGGGACCTCACAAGTTCCAGATCTGAAGTCTAGACGTCCTGATAAGCTCAATGCACTCAAAGTCCCAATAAAAGGTGGAAAAAGCCCTAAACTCCATAAGTATGAGATCTAACAAAAATAATGAGAAAGGTGCACTACTAGAAAATAGGCCTTTAATGACGAGCAATTTATGACACGCACGAATTTACAATACGCAAAAGTGTGTGATGTAAACGTAATGTCATCTCTTTAAAATTTTGAAGGATTTCGGACGCGCATTTTTGCGCGTCCTAAATTTTGTGTCAGAATAAAAACACGGAGGGCGCTTATTATAAAATGTGTGTCATCTAATCATGTCGCTTAATAATTTTTTAACGCAACACGCATTTTTAATAGCCTCAGGGGGAAATGGAATCCCCAAAAATTAAACCCCCCCCCCCCTATTCGATCCAATCTCAGTCTCCCTTATTCCCTCTGCTGATGCCTCCACCTTCTGCTATCTATGCTAATCTTTGAATTAGCAAGAAAGAAGCCCTATGGCCTTCATCTTCACCCACCTCGAGCACCCCTAACCCTTCTACGATTATTAATCACAATTCAGGATTTCTCTAAGAGAAAACCTCCAACTACATCCTCCACATTCCGAAAAGAAAACCCCAATTGGCAGCCACATTTTGACGTCAAGTACCCTTGGGATGAAAGCCTAATTGGTGGCCACATTTCTACGTCGGCGTCCCGTAGGGCTTTTTTGTTAGTGCCGATTGATCATATTTAGTTCATACATCCCCTCTAACCAAACCCTTAGCAACCTAAAAGAACCCTAATCTTCCATTCGTTCGTCTTGGAGGCTAGAAAATGAGTTGTTCAAGTTTTTATATGAGGCTGTCGGATTTTTGAGTCACCGTCGAGGGAGGAGGAGGAAGAGGACCTCGGGAAAAACTTTACTCCAAGCTAAGGTATCGATGCATATTCTTTTCTTCTCCTTCTTTTATGTTTTCCCCACCAAGCACCACTTAACACCACGGTCAGCAGCTAAGGCATCTGGCGTTTTTCTCTGCCACCACCCATCACTATTCGGTGGTTATGGTTGTACGTGTGGGTGTTCTAATGTGTATGGTATTCAGATTCATCTTCCAAGTCATTTTTCCATAAATCGTATGTGTTGACTTCAAGATCTATTTCTACAGTGTTGTTTGTACGCATATATATATATATATATATATATATATATATATATATATATATATATATATACATACCTGAATCAGAGTGAGAGATCAAGGCATACAATTGTTTTGCAGTAAAGATTGCTTCTGAAATGTTTCTGAGAGGAGCCGCAATCTCATCGCGAATTATCATCAATACCTCCATGTAATCTGCAACTCATTTACCGGTTACAGTCAGTCTTTCTACTCATTACAAATTGGCAAACAAAAAACAGTTACTTCATATCATTTTCAGTGGTATCACATTTTCTTCTTGTTAGCTAGGCCTAATGTAGATAATATTGTGTGTTTGCATTATCCAGCCCTATGTATCTCAGCCTAGTCTTTGATATTTTATTAACCTAGGCTAGCCCATTGTATTATTTATATGTTATTCTATGAGATTATTAGGAAAACTTTTATGGGAAAATATCACAATTACATGGTATCAAAACTAAAACAATACTCCTCTATTGTCTCTAAAATTCAAACACATCCTTCTCACAAAATCTAAGGAAATAGCAAGAAATTAATCAACTGATCCTAAGAATTAGCTCAAAAATAGAACAATAAGACCCTACTCGAGAGGGGTTGAGTCTCCAATTACAAAACCAAGTCTGAGTGATAAAAATATAACGAATGAAAACAAATTGCAAAGCCCTCTGAAAACTAGTTACCCAAACACAGTTAAGTAACTGATCCTAAGAATTAGCTCAAAAACCACTTCTGTTTTCCTACAAGAAAGTAGCTGGAGAGTAATTTAGTAATTTTACTGATATTGTAGGCTTTTTCAGTAGTAATAGTACTATGTCAATGGTGGCAACATTTTTGTGGTCTAGTGTTCCTAGTAGTATATATAGTTGTTAGAAGGTAAAGAAAGGTAATCAAATATTTTGTAGAAAGTTCTTTGTGATAATTACTATCTTGAATAATAAGCAATTATTTGGTGTTTAATTGTTAGTTATTACTATCCTTCTTGAGTGACTATGTCTTTTAAATTTGTTAGTTGATATCAGGTTATGGAGGGTCTATAAAAAAAGTGCATCAAATGGCACTCCTAACTTTAAGATCTTGGGGATTACGATACTCGCACTTTCTTTGGGTTTATCCTTTATGTTTAATAGCTCAAGTGTTCGCAAAATTTCTCCATTTTATATCTATATAAAAAAATCAATTCCGATGAGACAATCAAGATTTTCAATGTAACAATGGATGTGAATTTGACCAATACTTCACCAAAATGACCAAAATGACCACATTTAATGTGATAATTGTAGACATTTTTCCCATTAATTTAATTAATTTTATATATTTTCAGATAAGACAAAATGACCAATTGGCTATTGGTAAATTAGTTACCAGCTTAACAAGGGGTAACTCCATATCATCCTATGACGCATAATACTGATGGTATTATACATATCTCATATTCCATTAAATTTAAATTAATTATTAATTTGTTATGTAAATTAATTAAAGTGTTCTTGACTTGTTGTAGGATCTTTATCTCGTATTGGGGGCTCTGGTAGTTTCCTTGAAGGAGATGATAACAGCTACATCAGACTGAATGCTGAAGCAATTCGCTCAGCATTGAATGAGATGGCATCTTCTAGTAGCAAAAGTAACACCCATTATGGATGGACATCTTCAGATGATGAAGATGAAGCAGATGCCATGGATCATGATCTATGTTGTTCCTATCATCTTCACCCTTTTTCTTTTCTTTTATTCAAAAAAAAAAAATTAAACTCATGATATGATGAGGGTTCAGATGATGAAGGTGGGAAGAGTGCAAGAAGCTATAGGAAGAAAGGAAAGGTGCAGTATGATGAATATCGCAAAGTGAAAGAGTTACAGAAGAAGGAATCAGTGAAAAGGATGATGAAAAGAAATCCTTTATTGATGGTGTGGGAGATATAAATATTAGTATGCACTACAAAAGATGAAGCTACTAACAGCTCTGTGTTTCCCTTATGTGTTCGCACGAGGGGTATTTCCGGTGTTTGGTTACCCGTTGGTGGTGAACTCGGTTGTTTATAGGTTTGCATGGGTGGGGTGTTTAAGTTTTAGTATGGTAATCGGTAAAAGGTAAAAGGTAAAAGTGAGTCGGCATCATATCATATCATATTATCATATATTGATATGTTTTCTTATATTAGTGGTTGTTTGATCAATGTTTGTTGAAACAAATATATGAAATGTGTTACATTCTTAAATGAGATGCATATTCTAATAATCTTTAATGTTTTCTATATTATTCATATGCTAATAATCTTTAATGTTTTCTATATTTGCAACATTAATCCATTTAGGCTTATTGGAGTTGGATTATCTGTTTGGACTTTTGCGGCAACTGGATGTGGGATTTCAATTGACTTTTGGTCAATCACAATCTACAGAATGTGAGTTGACTATTTCAATTTTCAAACGCACATTTGACTTTTTAATGGTTAAACATATCAATTTTTTAAGCCTCGAGATTTATGTATATTTCAAGTTCTTTACATACAAGTTGTTACCCATTACTCTATTTTAAATGTTTTATGTTCTGCCTTTTGTTTATATCTTATAATGAGTCTTTGATACATACGATCAAGTTGATTTAGTTCTTCAAGTGTTAGTGAATCTATTTGTCACTAAATCTTTTAAATGATTTAACAACAGAGTGCATGCATATGATGGAGCTTCAAGTAGTTAACCTATCTAATTCCAATAATGGAAGCTACCAGTGTCAAGGGTAAATAAGGCTCGATGAGTCTTTAAAAATCCATGGTATAAATGCTTACCTTGATGACTCTCTTGGACTTCAATACTCCCAAATTATAACATTAAAATCAATAACAGTTCAACTTTCAACACTAAGGTATGACACGCTTCACTCTTATTTCAATTTTTGGTGTCAATGTGCCTTATTTTTATTTACTTTACTTTCTGTTGTATGACAGGAAGGATAAATGGTCTCTTGGGAAAAGTGTAAGTACTTTCTCTACACTCCTACATGGGAATTCTTCAGGGCTCTCAGGTCTAATATTTATTGACGAAATGTTTGCAAAAACAATGTAGGGATATGATGTCGGAGTTACGTTGTTGGTCAACAAGTTTGACCTATATCTTTCCTTCATTTTTTTTCATCTGTATATTTATTTAAAATGTGTAACGTAAATAGGAGCCTCACATAGAGGTCATGTCCCCTGTATCAAAAGGTGTTCAGATGTATAATATGAATACGCTTCTGGTGTTCATGTATCGTGAGTTTCATGCTCTTCAAAAACGTGTATTGACATCTGCCATTCGTGCCAATGAGTAATCTGCATAGTTTGCAAATGTAGCTGAAGTTTCTTTAAGAAAGAGGTTAAAGTTATTCAATATACTAACAGTTTATGTCACAAATTTTCACAAATTTTCACCTAACATATGTAAAAGGAACTTTCTACACGGCAATTAAAGAAGGAAAAACCAATCACTATATAGATACGAAAATTAGGAACGTATGTCAAGTTGTAAGATTTGTTTTTAAAACTTTATACATAAATATCGTTGATACTGTCTCTGTATTTATTTCTTGCTTTCTGAAAAAAAATACTCAAGTAGATCTATTTGTGTGTCTATAATAGGCCCCGACCCCAACACAGTCGCCATATATAGGCGATTAGTCTAATCATGTTCATAATCTTGGGGACTTTATTGTAACTTAGCAACAAAGAAAAAGGGGTATAATATTCATTAAACTAGAAGTATATCACAAGATGTTCATCATATATATTACAAATCTTGAAAAAGTCACCCAGCAAAGAAAAATGCAGACGAAGCTTTGCTTTCATCAAAATAAACCTTCTTTTTCAGGGCATAATGTATCAAGATTCTAAATAAACCCTTTTCTTGATCCAAAAATAAACACAAACCCTAATTTTCTTGCTCTCCAAACTAGAGTTTGTTCAATTGGTTCATAAATATTGATCTTTTACATACTTCTTGGGGACTGCAGGTTCATAGCTGTAAGTAGCTTTTTCATGGCAGATGTAATTAGCAAGAAGCTTCTACTCTTTTTTGGTCTTACTCTTGTTGTTCCTCCCGTTGTTTATCCTCTTGAAACAGGTTCTTTGACATCTGGGAGGCGGTTGTTGAAGCATTCTCAGCCACCCAAAACCACCATGGCCACCACCATTGCCACCACTCATGTAGAGTTTCATGCAGCTGCACATGAAGTTCCTAGTGGTCCAAACCCATAATCGAACAGGTAAGAAGCAAATCAAAACGTACCGTTTATTTTGTTTGGTAAATACTATATATGGATGTTAATGGTGTTTAAATTGTTTTGTGGTTTGTTATTTGTATGATGATAATTATAATTAAATTTTATGGTGTTTTTTTGTTATCAATGTCAAAGTTTATTTTTTCCTCATTTTGCATTGATATACCCGAAAATACCCAATAGTTAGATTCTAACTTTATGGCATATAAGTGTTATGATTAAATTCGGTTACCTGAACTAGTTCAACTAGAGATAGGGTGTTTGGATGTGCGAAATTTTCGTATTCCATTAGAGGATGAGCTTAGAAGAATGGTGACACCACAAAATGTATGTTTTCACTTTTATTTAATGTTTATCTTTATCTTCCTTTTCTTTTATCTTATTTTTTTGTGTGTTAGGTGTGTGCTTTTGAAAGCATGCTAGTTGGAATGTATAGACTGAAACTTCTAGGAATCAGCATGACTCATCCATGTGGTATCTCCTCTGCATTGAATCAACTCCCTACTAAAGCAATAGCTTTAGCTGATGCTTCCCACATCGAGAGAGAATTACAAATAACTCCCAGGAATTTAAGCAGCAACTTTGTTGTACAAATCAGGTAAAAAAAACAAACAGGGACTTAATACTTAACTGGATATGATTGATTGGTTTGAAGTCTTAAATATTGTTGTTCGGGATAGAGGAAACATTGAAATATTGGAGATTAATGGTGTTAGTGATCCATCTGGTAGAGGATTAAATTTAGCTCTGTTCCAACTGCTCCCAAGGCTCCAGTTTCAAATAACATTGCAAAGAAAAAACTTGCTATAAATCTCAAGGCTCCAGTTTCAAATAACATTGCAAAGAAAAAAGTTGCTATAAATCTTGTTTACATTGAGGCAAACAATAGGTTATTAGAACTATTAGTTTGAAAATTTCTATTAGAACTTCTATTGATTTATTTTATCTTTCCATGGAACGATTATTTGTATGATATTAAATTTTATGTAACTGATTGTATTTTTTGTATATGATATTTTATTTACTATTATGAGACATTGAATCCAAATTTAATTTGAAAATTAATAAATCTATAAATAATATTTTTTAAACATTTAAAATTACGATACGCAAAAAGGTGTGTCATCTTCATTTATGACATGGCGTTTCTTGACAAGGGCTTTAATGATACGCAATGTGAGTCGTAAACACGCACGTCGTTAGGTTACGACACGCAAATGTGTGTCGTCTTCCTTTATGACAGGGCCTTCCTTGATAGACATTACGTGTCATAATTGTGCGTCGTAAAAGCGTGTCATAAATACGAATCGTAAATGCACGGTGTCTCTCGGTATGATATGGCCTTCCTTGACACGCATTTACGTGTCGTCTGTGCGTTTTATGACGCGCATTGGGCATCGTAAAAAGATGTTTTTCTAGTAGTGGTGTAGGCTTTTTACCTTCCACAGAAGCTCTAGACGAAAATAGCACTAGATCCAACAATACTATATCGTTCCTTGTTTGATATTCTCCTCTTCTCCTCAAATGATGCACAAAAAATACTTACGGATTAGCTCTAGATCTCTCTCTTAGCTCACTAGTACGATTAGGGTTTCACATAGAGGACATAAGCTCTTTTAAATAGGCCCCAACCCTGGGGATTTAGGGTTTCATCTCAAAGCGCCAACTCGGCGATTCGGCTCTCTGACTCATCGAGTCGGTTATTAAACCCACGTGGTCAACTCGTCTCTACTCGACGAGTTAAGGCACCAACTCGTCAAGTTACTCAATAGATCTCAAAAATAAATATATAAATAATATACCTGGGAGTCCGGATGTTACACGGGGAAGGCCAATGTGGTGGTGATGCTCTCATTCGCAAGGTGGTCACGTCTCCGATAAGATATATATGTTTGAGGATGAACGTGATTAATCCATGGTTGGAGCTGATTCGCGAGGCTCATGCCAAGGCTATGAAGGAAGAGCGTCGGAATAGTGGGCGCATTGTGGTTCTAGGGGTTTCCTTTGATTATGATAGTCGTGGATTGTTGACTCTGCATCAGCGAGTTTAGGTTCCTTATTGGAGTGGTGTATGCTAGATTCTGAAGGAGGAGTTTCACAAATTGAGGTTCTTCATTCATCCCAAGGTGACAAAAATGTATAGGGATATTCTTATTGATTATCGGTGGCCCTGTGTGAAGCGGGATGTGTCCTGGTACGTAGAGTGGTACTTAACTTGCAGGAAAGTCAAGGCTGAGTATCAGGGATCTCACAGAAAGATGAAGCTCTTGGAGATTCTTGTATGGAAATAGGAAGACATCACAATGGATTCATCATGAAGCTTATGGGGACTGTGCGTGGAGTGGATTCAGTATGGGTTATCCTGGATCGTTTGACAAAGAGCACGTATTTTATTCCAGTTCAAGAGAGTATTTCAGCAGAAAATTTGGCTGAGTTATGTATAAGGGAGTTGGTGGCACGTCATGGGTGCTGGTATCTGTGGTATTTGATAGGGATGTTCATTTCACTTTCAGATTTTACAAGAGGTTTCATGATGAGCTGGGTACTTGACTTTTTTTCAGAATAACTTTTTATCCATAGACCGATGGTTAGAGCGAGTAGACTATTCAGACTCTTGAGGATATGATGTGTGTGTTGCACTTTGGAGGGAGTTAGGATACATATCTTCCCTTAGTGTGTGTTTCACTATGGCAGCAGACTTTAAGGACGAAGTCTGATTCAAGTGGGGGAGAATTGTAACACTCGATAATTCAAAGGTATTTATTTAAATTTGGTTATTTATTTTTTTGATTTCGCGCCTTGAAGATATTGGACTTAACTATTTTGGGCTTGCGGTGTGCCATACGCAGAGTGTACCACCCAATGTACGGAGGGCATACTAAAGTAAATGGAATGTGGATGCCATATACCCATGCACGACATATGAAGTCGGTATGCACAACGTGCATGTCCAGACCTGAAAACCCTAATATTTAGGGTTTGAGCACTATTTAAAGAACATTATGTCCCAAGGATCTTTTCTATTAGCCCCCCTTTTATACCTAATCAGTCTCCACAAAACCCTAACTCCAGTGTTAAGTGTTCTTGAGCTTGCAAAGTCATTTTGAGTGTATTTTAGTGTTTTGAAGGAAGGAGATCATCTTGAAGCATCATTGGAGGAGTGTGAGCTTGTAGATCAGAAAAATCATCATCATTTGGCACTCATTAGATGTATAAAGCTTTGAACTTGTTGTGTCATCGTTTAGATCTAGTTCTAGCTCGGTTTGGATTAACTTTTGGTCCCATGAGATAGATTTGGTGGCTTGATGCAATTTCAGAATTTATGAGTTGCCCCTCTTGACTTTTTGAGGATTCTAAGCCTTAAAGTTATCATATTTTGGGTTGAGAATCACCCATGCATGGGCTAAGACCCTTATTGTGGAAGTAGATTGTTATATTTTGAAGATGGGACTTTTTAAGGCATGCAAAGTCACAAAGTCAGTGACTTTATGGTTTTAGAGGTATATTATGAGCTAGATCAATGATTTGGACACTTGGTATTAAGCATTAAGTGCTTAATGGACTTTTTGATCTTTTTACATTTACAGCCAGTGTAAATGGGAGTACATCACGCATACTCGTGAGACTTCCCGATCCAGCAAAGCAGCCTTGTAACACTTGTTCCAAGTATTATTTAAATTTCAAGTTTTAGGGTTTCTGGCTTGGACTCGACGAGTTGGGGAGCCCCAATTCGCCGAGTAGAGTCATTTATGAGGATGCAAGATTCAGATCCTACTCGACGAGTCAAAAGGCCCCTGACTCGACAAGTAGGCACTGTAATGAGAATACCTAATTTTCAAGAGTTTGTACCCTATTTAGAGGTCGTATGGCTCATTTGCAGTCTCTTCCATCGTTCCTACAACCAGAGAAACCCTAGTTTTAGCCTTTCACCTTCTTGAGAGAAAAAGAGAGCTTTTAGGAGTGATTTTTGGTGTGGTTGTGAAGATTTTGGAGCTTGAAGAAGAAGGAGCAAAAAGGGAAGTAGTAGATCTAAAATCCACTTTGCATTTGTGACCATATTGTGGTATACAGTCACTATTTTGACCTTTAGTTGCTTAGATATCTTTTCATGGATGTAAATGGTCAATTTTGGTGCAAAAAGGGTGCCATCTTTGAATCTCGACTTGTCACAAGGATATGGTTCTAGGTCTGTACCCCTCTAGGTCTTCAATGACATAAAGTTGCTCACTTTATTCAGCTTACGTCCTTTCCATGCATTAAGACCTTGTAGGAACCTTAGTTTTGGTGTTTTAGCCTTGTGAGGCCTTGCATGCATGTAAAGTTTGCAACTTTGCATTGTAACTACACTACGAGAAGTTGGATCTGAAGTTTGGGGTATTTAATCTCACTAGAAAGGATTGAAACACAAAAAGGAATGAAGGGACTCATCCCTTAGACAACTCGACGAGTCGAGTAGGGTTAACCCGTTTTTGTGAATTTCGAGTGATTTTTGTGAAGGATTGGGGGCTTTTGGCCTGCATGGGATTTTGGTCTTCTGGATATTGAAGAACTCAACGAATTGCATAGGTAACTCAGCGAGTTAAGGAGTTACTCGGGAACTCAACGAGTTACTGGATGCACTCGACGAGTTGAGGTCAACATTGACTGTTGACCTTGACTTTGACCATGGTTGACTTTGAGGATAATTATGGTAATTCATGACTATGGCAAGTCGATTACATGATGATTACAATCTGTTGAGTTGGGGCAACATGTGGGATTTATCTGATCTTAGCTTGAAAGTTCAACATTCACGAGAAGTGAGTCTGTCCCATTTTATTATATGTGGTACACTAGCTGAAGTTATATTATGAGACATAATTGTTGGTTATGTTCTAGGATATATGCTAGTTGTATAAGTGGTACACTTGTATGGAAGACCATGGAAGAGACCATGACACCTGGATGTAAGACCATGTGGAAAGCCCACGACTTTCC